AGTTCGTTTTTCATAGCGGCTGGCAGAAGAGCTGGCTTCCATGAGGGCTCCAGCTGCACGAACCTGTAGATTGCATTAAAAATGCTGAACAAACTCCGTTGCAGTAGACAGAACCACTGAGCTGTACCCAGGACGCTGTTAACCACCACAGGGCTGGCAGTTGGGGCCTCCAGCAAGTCACACACAGCGGCCACAAACTTGACCAGCTTTCGCTTGCATGGCTCCACCAATGGCGGCGCAGCTGAAATGTCACAGCCTAGCGCAGTCATTTCAGCTGCCAGTGAGATGTCCTTGTTGACGTTCCTGGCAACACCATTCTTGTCAAACACTTTGTCCAGCTTGGACAATGTGCGACGCCCCTTAAAAGGGCACCGATAAAAGAACAGGGTGTCGTCAGTGGCCACGGCGCACAGTTCCTCCTACGAGCCAGATAACGTGTGGTCCAAGCTGAAGATGCAACGCGGATCAACGCCTGTATCCACCAACAAGCCGATGGTGTTCGACTGCGCCACACAGGAGGACCAACTAAAACCCATGGGCCAAGCAGCATATACCGGAAAAAGCAGCGTCTACGCCAGCAATCCTTCTCCCTGAGGAAGGTCGTCAATAAAGCCAATGACTTCGGCGAGTGCGAATCTTCCTTGTGACAGAAACTCGTGCAATACTATAGGCTCCTGGCCAAACCAAGGCTACAGATCTGCGGGGACTGCAAGCAAATCAAAGTAAGTTGCAGCGTCTCGCTTTGACATGTACAAGCGTTCGCCACGACGGACCACGATGTCGAGAAAAGAACTTGGATTCGCCAGTCGGTGGGGCTTAAGAGGCTGAGTAGCACGTTCGGAGAGGACGGAGCCATCCCAGATCTTCCGCTGGCGGCCTTTGGTGCTCTTGGCTGCTGCAAAAACCCCAGCAACACCAAACACTTGCGTGCGTAGGCGAAGCTTCTTGCACCACAGCTCTCTGCAAGTAAGATCAATGTACTCCTTCCTCTCGATACCGAAAGTCTTGGTGAAGCCCAAACACTATTGGAAAAATTGATACTCTTCAAAAATAGTTCCTGGCGTATATATAATCTGCCACAGTCCAGGACCCACGAGGTTGCCAGGGTCACACGTAACTGCGCGAGTCGGCAGGTCCATATCGCCACCGCGAATGCGTTCGTAGTCTGCGCTGTTTCGCCCAAAAGTCTGCAGCGATCCCTTATAGGAGAACGGCCCGTCACTGGTGGAGTTTAGGCGGGTGCAGAACCGGACCACTCGCTAATAAATATGCTCTTACACAGCCCTCTGGGCAGCTGTGCAGCCTTATCCCAACCGAGAGCCCGATGTTTCTGACATGCCATCGCTCAAGTAATTCAATGCTGCACAGCACAAGTCTGCACAAGCTAAAAGACCATTGCGGTTCTGCTCTCCATCAGCAATACAAGCTGGCCAACTTCGAAGGCGCGGCAGAGAGAATAGGTCGCGGCGTCCTGGGTTCGGCCCCCTAAACTCGCCTGAAGCTATAGCTCTAGCGAAAGGGAGCTTGGACTTCTCAACGAAGCTCGTCAAGAATACTGCGTAACCCTCGGCAAAAGAAGCTTCTATAGAGGGAACGCCCGGTTCATGTGCAAGTGCGTGGCAGCCCTTCGTATTACAACCAGAATCCAAGACAGCTCGAAGTTTGAAACACAACTTGTGCCGAAGAGCCCTGTGTCGGTTTCTAAAGAGCCGAGCCGGTGAAGATCTTCCACAAACCCCTTAAAAGCCTGTACCGCAACATGCCATCTTATCCTTTCCCAAAGAGCGGCCAACAGCATGCAACCAGGTTGCACTCCCACAGACACAAGAGAGCCACCACCACAGCGGGAGCATCCCAAGCAGGAGACTTTACAAGTGTTGTTAGGGCATCTCGGGCCAGCAGGCCTATAGGAGATACAGCTGCGCGTGCATACGTCATACACCTCAACCCACTACAGGAAAGTGACCTAGGATTTAAACGCCTCAGCAATAATACCTATTCATTTTCTAAGAATAAAACGCGTTCCAAAATAACAAAAAAAATCGACTTTTTAACCCGAGAAAATTAAAATTTGCCGAAGAAAAATCGCGAAACGATATATCAATCAACTAATAAAGAATAAGATTTTATCATATCATCATTCAAATTTAATTATCATTTAATATTTATTCGAATTATTTATATATTATTTTCATTTTTATATAAAATTTAATCATCATCAAAACTCTATTCTAGCGCCACCATTATCCTATACCTCAATCGATATATCTACTTACGACCACCGAATAAAATCTAAAGACCACATATATATACAGAGCATATATGTACAAGATAATATATATGTGTATATATACATATATATATGTGCATACATATACCTAGACAAGCACAGATAAAGAAACATAGATACTTACATTCATTCATATATATATATTAACGAAAATGCCAATCTAAGTGGACGGATTAAGGGGCTACAGAGTCGCGGGCTTCAATATGTGCAGGCTGGGTATCTATTAGGGTAACTATATTCTTATCCAAAACCCGAAATTCGGCGTTAAATATAGCTCTCCGGACTACCCTTCGCTCTAACGATTAAGACGTTTACAAACGCAAGTACAGTAGAGTAACTCTCGAGATTACTTGCCTATAATTAATAATAGCAGCCACTATGTCGAGTTATACACGACCGCTAGAAGTTATCGGGCGATATATCGGTAATCGGCCAAGCCCACACGAACGTTTCCTCTAACTCTGTTCAACATATACATGTAGTTACGGTCGCCCTCATAATCCAAAATTTTATTCCAAAATACAACCTAGACTAACGGGGTTTTGACCGTAACTCATTTAAATATTTTCATACTTCCCTAAATCCTGCAAAATCATTTTCGAGATCATATTTTTAAAATAAATCGCGATAATATTTTTATCGTAGAAATATCAGAATAGAAATATTTAATTTATTTGAATTAGTAAATAAGAGATATTTGTTGTATTAATAGATGAATCTAGATTCGAATTATAAATAGAAATTATATTCATTATATAATCGGAATTAATAAAGATATTTAAAACGAAAATATCTTTCTAAATCTTTCAAGGAATTATATTTTTCAATTCTTCTCATCATATGCGGAATAAAGCTACATAATTTATATTTATTCATGACGGCTTAAAATTATAAGTTATCAATATATATATATATTTTTGTAATAAAATCAAAGAATATCGATAATTTTGAAAAGAATAGATTTAAATCATAATTTTTAATTATTCGATTATCAAATTATATTGCGCCATATGTATATATATATACTTATATATTTCATATTTGCACATTTTTACATTATATTATATTACATTACATGACAAGACATACTTACACACACACACACACATACATACATACATACATACATACATACATACATACATACATATAAACTTTATATATGTGTGCACGTAAATATATGAGTCGGCGTCAAAATTACTTGTTCATGCTGCTTATGTTTTTGAACTAGTGCGTCCCCTGTCGTTTTCCGAGGAATTCGCCTAATGCATTTGCAGGGACCAAAGTATAAGTAACCCTATCGTTTTAGCGCATCCCCTATCGATCTTGGGGGTTCTGGCTCAACAACTGCCCTCTACACTAAACTACATTAACGATAATTCTTACAATCTCATGTGTCATACATATATATATATGTACATATGTGTATATGTGTATGTATTACACACATGTAAGTAGCTACGTCGCATCTGGTGAAGTACGAGGGCTCTCGCGCCGGCAAAGGGTGGCAGCAAGGACCTCAGTAGAAATGCCAGCGACCCAAAGCTTGCGGAGGAGGCTTGGAGTAGGCTAGACTGGTTTTTTTTAGGGTTTAGGATTTAGGGTTTAGGGCTAGACTGCTCAACTGTTGAGCGAGCTCTTGATGTTGACGTGTGTCGAACCAGTGCTTTCAACCAGCTTAAACGAGCTCATGATGTGTCACAAAGTCTTCCAGAAAGTCTACGCTCTACGGCGTGATTTTCATCTAATCACACCAACACAAGCCTTTTTCCAGAGGTTTGAAAGTCTACCCTCGCGTAGGGCCCTTGCAGTGCCAACTGTCATGTAGGGCCTAAACAATGAGAACAACGTTTAGGGTGTAGGGGCCAAACCATCGGGTATCAGCATACCTCCCCAATTATTGTCAATGCTTCTACATTACGTTGGCGCTGCACTGTAAGTAAGCCCTCCACTGAATAGTGGCCTAGTGCTCAGCTAAGGATGGGAAAGGTGCAAATTGAGAAGACTCATTACAGTCGCTAGAAAAAGTTGGGATTATCCACGTAATCCATTCCAAGAACCCTGGATGAGCACCAAGACCGGCTGCAGCAGGCTGTACAACTAGCGGCAATACGAAGACTCAAGGACAAGTGGAGTGGGGTTCGATGATTCACTCCGCCACCCCACCCTAAGACAAAACTGGAAGTACCCCTCTGGAAGTACCCCTTCGAGAGGTCAACGTCCTTTCGTGCTGCATGAATTCCATTGGTGAGCAAGCAAAGTCAGTCTGCCTGCTCTCAAAACTTGACAGGTTTATCGGGAACCTGAATTGTCAGACTAGATCATCCCCTCCACCTGATATTAGGCCCCCATCCTTAGAAAGGATTTGTTTGGCGGCTACAAAACATAGTCGCTGAACGCGTTGACGCTTCACCGGGAGAAAAACTGCTTTACGAACTGCAGGAGCTCACGGGTCCCAAAGGTAGCAGATCGAAATTGCTTAGAAATTAGCAAGTTTGGGGTTTCGGGTCCAGGGGTCCAGGGATTTGATGCCTCAGCATACCATATCAGGGCTCCGCTGGGAGAGTCGCCACAGGGGCTGCGCGAATGCGACACAGTGTTCGTACACAAACCCTTGACGGTTAGCATACCTTCGATATTGGAGTTACTAAAGCATTAAGAGCAAAACCTCAACATGCAACAACAGGATTCAGGTTTCCGAAACCTTTGTCTACAGCAGTCTGTCAACAGCTATTGCTGCCTTCCACAGGTCCTTGATCCGAGACCGTGGTCGCTGGGACTTCCTTCTTGCTTGACCATAAGCCGGGTTCTGTCCTGATGTCTCAGCATTGAAGACTTCCGACGTGGACATGAACATGGGAACACCACTAGAAATACTGGAAACAGGGTATGCCCGAATTTTCGCAGCCGCGCAATGTCGGCCAAGCATCATGGCTGGCAGAAGCAGGAGCAGCAGCAAGGTTGCCGTGAATGCTCGGAAGAAGGTCTCAAGACCAAAAGCCTGAAGGCCAGACGGAACTGTGGTGGAACTGTGGTCTCTTGCAGTGACGAGGGTAGTTGTCTTGTGAACCCAGCCGCATTCTTTCACAAGCATTCCCAGCTAAAGACAAGGCGCCTGAAGCACTTGACTCATCAGGAAGGGGCCGGCACCAGAGCCTACAGTGCAGGCAATAGACAACATACCAGTGTGGACGTTCGTCATCTCCCCCTGACTCTTGAGCAAGCTGATTGTCATCGGCTGCACGGGCCCAAGGCCCAGCGGTATGCCAGCTACAGCCAGCAACCTGGATCACTGTGAACTCAAAGCTAGAGCCTGTGTCTGTGGCACGCTGATGACATTCCCTCAACTTAACTGGGGCAACATGTCTAGCCTTTAAATCGAATGCAACAATGACCCAGGGACACTGCAGGCAGCCAGCGTGGCCAAAGCGTAGCTGGAACGCAACAAAGTAAAGCAACAAAGGCCCCTCCCATTATCACAGTGGTCGGTCGCGGGCGAAGGCGATGGCAAAGGCAAGGCGTGAAAACCAGACGGCTGACGGCGAAAAGCATGTAGAAGGCCACGTTGCTGGCACTAGCTACAGCAGAGTCGAAGCCCGTCCTGAGCTGCGGTAAAAGAGCTAAAGAAGAGGCGATCATAAGAAGCAAATTCCAGTAGCGACCAAAATCCAGAGCATGGCAACTGAAATGAGTTTCCTAATAGCAGCCAGCATCCGGGTCATCACCGTGATCAGCCAGAATCCTACGGCAGCCTCAAGGCCCATGGATAGGCCGTACCTGCACTTGGCAGCTCTTGAGGCTTCAGGTCTACAGCTTCACATTTAGGGTAGCTGCTAGGAATAAGGGAAATGCACTGTTGAACCAACCTCTTGAACTTATGGCAAATTTGCGACCCAATCCCCATGACATCCCAGGCACAACATGCAGCACTTCAGCACCAAGCACCTTGCAGGGTGTTGCTGTCCTGCATGGCGGGCCTCTTGCTGGGGTTTCGGTTCTCCCACACCTATGAGGAGAAAAGCAGATAATGCGGTGGAGGCGGCGGCAGCATAGAATGTACCTTCTGTGCCGCAAGTACTTGAGGAGAGCTCCTCCAACAGGACGATCACCACACAGCCAGCTGCAAAGCCGCCTTTGCTGAAGCTCTGTGACGCACTCCCGTGACTTGGGTCCTCATAGAGATTTGCAACCAGGAGAGATGTCATCTGTGAGATCCATGGCCTTGGCCAGACCATGGCACCAAAGGTAGCCAAGAGAGCCGGCAGGGACCCGCTGGCTGCGGGCAACAGCAGGAAGAAGGCACTAAGCCACAGCAGCAGCCCGGCAAGGAGCCTAAGCCAGTTTGGAAAGCACCAATCTTTACCAAGCATTTGTAGCATTCACAACCCGAGCACAGAGGCAAAGACCGTGCCAATCTTTACCAAGCATTTGTAGCATTCACAACCCGAGCACACAGGCAAAGACCGTGCACCGTCTGGCACCCTCAACAGAATCACGACGAACGAACCCAAAACATCAACCAGAGGCGCCATGTGCAGAGTCCTTCCCGCAACCTCGGACCCACTGCTTTGCCAGCATCCTCATATCCCGCAGCACCATGCGGCACGACCCATTGACCAGCTTGACACCCTCAGGCCATGCAGGTCCTTTGCCCCCGAGACTTCGCACCACCACCACCACCACCACCACCACCTGTATAGACCGCCTAGCTATCAAGGAAATCCAAAACCCCCAAAATCGAGCTCGAATCTAATGTAGAAGCCCTATTCTAAGTGTTAAGCCCCCTCTAAGCCCTATAAAGCCTAAACCCTAAATACTCCATTCAGGCTCCCAGGGAGCCGGTGGTGGTGTTTCCTGGGGACCAAGGCCACAGATGTGGATGCGAGCCCTGAGAGGATGCAGACGAAAGTCTGCACTAACCTGGCCCAAACGGTTTAGGCTCTACTTCTAGGGTTTTGGCGCTTAGGGTTGCGAAGGTCAGGTGTTACGGCTTGGGGTTTGGGGTTTTTCAAGAGTTGGGGCTCAGAGATGCGAGCCTCAAACTCGCACACGGCACCGAGAGGCTTCCACGTTGTCGTCGTGGGGTTCACCGTTTGGCGAAGAACCCGTAGGGCGGGGAGGTTGCAAGGACCAAGTCGAGTCTACTACAAAACGGTGAGGTACAAGCACAATCCCAAGAATACAGAATACCCGACCTATAATAACTTCAGAGGCCCTATTCCCCAAACCCGAAACGTCCTAAACCCCACACCCCATCCGCCCCGCCCAACCCCCAAACCCCAACCCCCCCCACCCGGACCCGCAAAAACACAATCCCCTGAACCTTAAACCCCAAACCATAAACCCGCAAGACAGAAATAAATAGCACATTGCTTCTGGCTGATGGCCGTCCGGAAACCTAATTTTTTCGGTCGTGACAAAATCGCTCCATTTTCTGATAAACCAATTTCCGAATCCAGCCCAGCCAGGCCCAGCCCAGCCCAGGCCCACCAATTCCAAAAACAGGTTTCAGTCAGAAAACCTGGTCAAAACATTTCGGTCAAACCATTTCGGTCAAAACTTTCGCCCAGAACGTTATTGGCACCCCAAACCCGTAAAACCCTAAACCCTAAACCTTAAACATATACGTTGCCCCAGAAACGGCAGGAGTCCCAAAGCTTCCGGCTGCACCCCGGCTCTGCCGGCCAGCCAGGGGATGGTGGGCCCCAAAACATTGCAGGCCATGCCAAAAATCATCTTCAGGGGCTGAGATGTGGAGAGTTTAGGGTTTAGGGTTTAGGGGTTTAGGGTTGAGGGTTTAGGGTTTAGAGGTTTAGGGTTTTGGGGTGTAAGGTTTAGAGATGATAGGGGCTTCGGCTTAAGGCTTTCGGATGACCCTCGCTACTGTATATAAAGCCCACTGGATGGCCATCCTGAGCCCTATTCCAAGAAGCCCAAACGAGCAGCGGTCTGTTACCAATTGAAACCTCTCCCTCCTGCTGTTCTTACCGGGGCAGTGGGGGAGGGATAATGCCATCAATGTAAAGATTGAGCTGAGTTGAAGCATCTTGCATAGAAGGGTGCCCTCAGTGTTGCCAGCGGCCTGGCAGAGAGTGTAGGCCATGAGGTGCGTGAAGGCCTGCGAACAGCCTGTTGGGGTTTCGGGCTGCAGGTGTTAAGGCTTCGAACTCTAAACCCCTAAACCCTAAACCCTAAACTTCGGAGTTTTGGGGTGCAGGGATCCCTTCCCCTCCTTTGAAACACACCCGACCCTGCTGACATCACTGTCAATCCCAAGCAGATTGGGGCTTCCATCGCGCTTTTTGGGGCATCTTTTGGGGTTTAGGGTTTAGGGGATTTTGGGGCAAGGGATCCCTTAAGCCCCAAACCCGATGGTTATGGAGGATTCATCCGGGACTGCAGGGATCACCCGCGCCATTCTCTACTCAGGAGGCAAGTGAACCAGAATTGAAAAGGTAAAGCTATTCCCCAGTAATCTTCTTTGGTGATGTTGGAATACACCCCAAACTTCAGAAACCGGTGTACATATTCAGGCTTCTACGACGAAATCCTAAATTTACTGGACCTTACCTTTTTGGGCCTGAGGTTCAAGACTGTCATTGCCGGCGACAGCTGGGGCACCATCGCGGTTCCCATCATTGAGGCCACGCCATGCTGCTGTCGGCCTCGTTCAGCGTTTTTGGCTTCAGTGCCCAGGGTTCAAGTTTCCAAACCCCGAGCTTTGAACCCTGAGCCCTGATTAATGTGCCGGCATATTTTACGGGGGGGAACCCCCCCTCCCGACCAAAAGTTGGCGGTTTGATTAATCTGTGCCCGCGACCCCCTTAAGGCGTCCCAGGGCTTCGGGGAGGGCTTGGGTGTAGTAGTACAGTAGTAGTACAGTAGTGGTGCAGTAGTGCAGCAGGAGTTCTGCAGGAGTTCCGTAGTGCAGTGGTAGCACAGTAGTAGCCATTCGTAGTACAGTATTGGTACAGTACCAAGTAGAGTAATAGTACAGTAGTATGGTAGTAGTACTACAGTACAGTAGTAGTACAGTAGAACAGTGTAGTACAGCACTAGTACAGCAGTAGTAACTAGTAGTACAGTAGCAGTACAGTAGTAGTACAGTAGTGCAGCACGAGGGTTCAGGGGTACCTAGAGCTCTGTAGCGGGATTTGGGGATGACCTAAAGCTCGAAATCAAGCCCTCGATCACCCCAAGATAACTACCAAGACTAAAAAGCCTTTCATTTTGAAGACACTTGCCTCTTGCCTACACTCCTCTCCACAAGGTTCTGTACAGTAGTACAGTCGTAGTACAGCAGTGGTACAGTACAGTAGCAAAATAACCGTACAGTAGTATTGCGGTAGGAGTCAGTTCTACAGTAGCAGTACAGTAATAGCACATAAAGGCTAAGCTTTTAGGATTTAGGGTCAAAAGGCGGTTAAGGATTGAGGGAGAGCTTGGGGCTTCAGGGAAGCAAATTGTGGGTGCTTTGAGATTGACCATTAGCAAAAGGAAGCAACACAACCAAATATCCGCCGGCCCAAAAAACGCATTAATCAGACCGGCTTGAATAAGCCCGGCCCAGAACGCATTATAGACCCCGATTGGATTAAACTGGCCGCCATGTTAAGCCTTACACCCAAGAGCCAATTTACCTACTAAACCTTGAAACTCAAACCCAAAGCCGCAATCCCTACTCGAGGGTTGCAAACACGAAGCCCTGAAAGCCAAGGCACGGCCCAGGCATGAAGCGTAGGACATAAGAGTGCATGGTGAAGTTC